GCTGACCTCATACGTCATCCGCCCGGAGCTGCTTCCGTGTACAAGAGTGAGCGCAAGCTAGATTAAATTGATTATTATGTTTTAAATATGGTTATATTTCTTACAAAAACGCATCGATTCGCTACAGGAGGCCGTTGTTCACCCCTCGGAGCCGTGTGAGCTCCCTTTATTTAATGGAGGGGTGCTTTTTATTTGACTTCTTTTGGACTGAAGCACTGCAACACCCACTGAGTGCCATTAAACAGCTTGAAAGATCAAAGACAATTTTTAATATAACTCCGACTGGATTCGTCTGAAAGAAGAAAGTCATATACACCTAGGATGCCTTGAGGGTGAGTAATTTATGGCCTAATTTTCATTTTTGGGTGAACTAACCCTTTAAAGAGCTTGATTCTACCCATACTCACAGGCATACATATATGTATGAGCTCACATGCCCAGCTGTCCGGAGGTCATTTTACAACAAGCACTTGACAAAGTCAGAGCCTCTGAGAAGCAGAAGGTTAAGACTAGAGGGGGAAAGGGTGTTCATAACATGTTCTCTGAGACCTGAGGCCTGGAGCTTCTTTTTCATTCACTGAATTATGTTGAAATAGATGAGGGACTAGGGCCCAGTCACTTGTACCACCTCAGAATAACAATAGAAACCCTGGAGCAGAGTATTGAAAACCAATTACAGAGAGAATGAAGAATGTTTTAGAGGGAAAAATGGAAAAGTATGGCTGTTGCTTTAAAATAACTGCCAATTAAACTTAAGAGACCCAGTTAAACCTTACAAAAAAACAAGGTCTGCCAAATAAAAAAAGTTGTTCTCCAAATACATTTCCTAACCAGATGTGTCATAAGGTTCCAAAAAAACGAATGAAACAGAATTGCTGAATTACACTCATTCTTACAAAATTATTTAAAGCAGCACTATAACTTTTGGCGCTCTAGCGGTTAATAAACAGAACTGCACACATCCGGCGGAAGAACATTCCAACCGGACTACTTCTCTTAAGTTTATGTCTATGGCGATTCACGCAGGTATGTGTTACTCCGCAGCGGTGACGACCCGACCAGGCTACAATAGTCCAAATAGAAGTACTTATTCTAAGTGTACCGTAGTGATTCGGAATAAGACAAAAACGCGGTTTGGAAGATGAATTTATGATGTACTCGCTCATTATATACATTTTGCAAATTTTGAACACAGAAAAAGTTACATAGTGAGGTTTTAAAATGTACTAAAAATTGGTGAATTAAAAAATAAATATACCAATAATCAATCCAACACCAAACAATCTAAAGAAACATCTGGTAATCTGCCCACTTTGAAAGCAAAAATGCTACAAGGCACTGCACAACAACTGCCAATTAAACAACTTATAATGTTTAATATACAATTATGTAGAGCAGACGAATATGGTCCAATGAGATTCACTGTGGGCTATAGAAATAGGAACCAAGCTATCAACAAAATGTCAATCGTTGCTGTTGGTTAAGACAAAAACTGTAGTATACATGGAAAATACAGCCTTTTTTGTTAATAATTTTATTGCATCCAGTGTTATTTTAGTATTATATACTAGTATTTATTAACTTTTATATAAGTAATTTTGTTTTGTGTTTTTATCATTTTTAATTTTTTGTTTTATTCAAATTTCTATCATTTTTTTTCCTATAATACTTTTTATAGCTTTAATTTTGTTTTTATTTCAGTTTAACTTATCTTATTTCAGTTAGTTTCCAAAGCCGCATTTTTAACTAATTTCTCTGTTTATCCTCATTTTTTATTTTATTTCAGCTTTGTTTTAATTACTTAAAATTATTAACAGTTTTAGTTTACAATAACAACACTGATGACATTTCCTGGTTAGGACATGGTCTATGACTTACCCTGGATTTGCACAGTTAACACTGATTATTACCAAATAATAATTATTTTGTGTTTAAGACAAATATGCAAGCAAACATTTGACACTGAAAGTCCATCATCACAGACTGGTCTCATAGGCTCAGCATTATCTACTGTTTGTCTATCCATTAGCACTTCTTAATAGATTTGAGTTGAATAGAGTTGATAGTGGATGAAATAGAGCCTGGACACAGGAAATGGCTGCTGAGGTCTCAGTGTAAGTGTGTGTACGTTGGGTAGCTGGGCTTGTCCGTGGATGATTGATGGGAAGGCAAATAAAGGCGAGTGGTCGCTTTCGAACATTCCAGGCCGGTACTCTTGGGTACAATCTCTCGAACCCTGTTAGCTTTCCTGCAAACATACTCAGACCCGTCTGCTTTAACTCACACATAAATGTCAGTGCCTGAGTCAGGCTTTCATCCGTACATAAAGCTAGTCGACAATGAGATGTCATTACTTCCTGACGTGCAAATAAAAACTAGGATCACAGACAGAGAACAAATAAAGGAAGGCAGTATAAAGGAAATTTATTACTACATGGCGCACTGGAATATTAGATTTTGGTCAATCTAAATTTCAACTTTTATACATTTGTCCCTAATGATCGATTTCAAACACTGTGCTAGTTTCATGCCTCTCATATCACTTTGTGGTCTCTTTGATCTGATCTCAAAGAGTTATAAGCGAGAATGCATATTATTGCAAAATAAACTACCTCTGGTTTTAATTATTATTATAAATTTAAGGATCGCAAAAATGTTTAAATGAATTATTATTTTACTACATTTTTATGTAAAATTAACCCAAAACCTTTTGGATGAATTTTAAATATAATTAATATAATTAAATATTATTACAAATATTATAATTAATAGAATTATATTATTTTCTTAAGTCCTTGTTTTGTTTAAAAGAAAAAAAAAATTAACCCAAAACCTTTTGGGTGAATTTTAAATATAATTAATATAATTAAACATTATTATGATTTATTGTAATTAATATCATTTTTATTACATTATTTTCTTAAGTCCGTTCCTTTTGAAATAAATACTAAGAAAAGAAACAAAAAAGTTTAGCCATGTAAATTTAAAGAGAGCGGGAGAGAGGAAAAATCTTAAAAAAAAAAAAAGCAGAGTGAGAAAGATAAAAAGAAAGCTTTCACTTTCAGAAACTCTGTTCAGTACAGAGACAGTATATATTTGTGTCTGCATGCGTGTTTGTTTTGGCTGCGTCAGCACTTTGTTTTGATGAACTCTCAGGGACCTGGACACACACACACACACACACAGTGGCACACAGGAGCAGCCGGCTGAGCCTCAGCAACAGACAAACACACTACCGGTGCTTACTTTGGAATCAGTGTGCCACTCTAATGCACAGGCCTGCCAGTCCTTCAAACACCTCACATGGATTACTGAAATATTTATGT